AACATAGTAACAAAAGAAGCAAGTCATTTTTGGCAATATTTTGGGAAGCTAGCAACCCAGTGTCTTAGAGTTCCCATCAAGACCTAGTCAGACCTCACTACAATTGCAGCCCATGATTTCAACCTGAAATCCATCAGTGTGTTCTTCTGAGGTCATTTCAATGCAGCTGATCTCAAAGCTGAACTGTCTATTCATCTTCAAGCCATGATGAGGTCTAAGAACTGCAAGCAACAGAAGGTTCCATTTGACAAAAAAGAAGTATAGGAAGACATGGCATTATTATTCTCTGGTCTCTAAGGAACAGGAGAATAATTGTGATACTCCTCAAATGAAGATGCACTCTAAAGTATCTCAGAGATAATATTAACACCAATGTTCAAAGAGCCCATTCCACTCAGGAAAATCGAAAAGACCAGACCCTGCAGCCCCCACATAAGAGAATTTGCATCACCTTGGATCTGAACTGCAGAGACAGTGACAGAAGGTGGTATGTGCTCACTGATAAGGGAAGAGATAACTTGTATGTGGCATTCAACGTTGTTGATGCTGGCGAAAAATATAGATTCAACAAGAGACAAATAAAGAGGCAAAATAATGTTGCCAGAAGAATGTGATAGAGAAGGAATTTAAGGGTACGTAAACTTTGGAATGCCCCCCAGCTGTATTCCTAAAGTGTCCTACTTAGTAATTACATTTATAGCAGGTAAACATGCCCTCCAGTATGATGAAAGAGTTACCATGGATTGCATCATTGTTTATATTAACACAATTGGAAAGGTACGCCATTAGATACATGAAGTTTCACAAGGGTTTGAAAATTTGTGTATATGCTTTCAAAGGAGAAACTATCAAGGAAGCACTATACAAAAGATGGTAGGTTTCTTTTCATTCCAGAGACTGGTTGAAAACTGTCACTTTCTTATAGAAAACAGGCAGTGGGTAGATGACACAGATAGAAAGTCATTGGACATTGAGTTTGGTGTTGAGAAAAGATGGAGCGCCAGGGTAGCCAGCAGGCTCTCAGAATTCCGAGTGAGAGCAAAGGCACATTCACATAATGAATACATACATTATGGATCAGAGCCCAAGATTTAAATGAGAAAGTGAAGCAAACAAAAAAAAAATCAGAGAATTCTTCAACCAAGAAATTAAAGAGAGAAAGAAAAAGGGGAGCTTGTATGACATTCATAAAGGAAACTTTGAGAAACTGGTTAGCAACTTTACCATGATGGAAGAACACAAAGATTTTTCTCATTTTAGTCTATCAGTTGCTTGCACATACTGAGAAAATTTGGATATCAAAGTTCTGGCACTTGCTTTATTTTTAAAGGATTATACAGCCTCATTTGTTGCCCTGTAATAAATCTCTTTGTAGGAGATGTAATAGACACAAGAGAGTGGGAAAACATAGTGTGTAAAAGTGACATTTGATTATGACGAACATGTGAAATCAGACATACTTTTCTGATGAACCTTGGTTTGAAGTGCCTGACTAAACTCAATTATGCTGTTCTGAAATGGAAGGAAAATGGACAAGTGCCTGTGGGTCTACTGGATTTTACCGTTCCATCGAATGGTTTGTTACTTATTATTGGTCTTGCAGAAGGAAAAATGGTTGTGCAGAAAGAAAAATGTTCTTGCAGAAGGAGAGATGGTCAGGCAGAAGGAAAGTCTACGGTCTTGTGATTCCTCTGAGCCAGCAAAAAGGAAAATGACAGGAACATAGTCAAGCTAGACATGTAGAGGGTTGTGTATGTTCACCATACATTCAAATAAAAACTGAGAAAACTTTCAGGGAATTAGTTGTCAACATTACTGTGATTACCTCTGATACTAGTTTTTTCTTTGGGTCTTCTGGTCCCACAGTTTTGATTCAAAATTTTCATCAGTGGCCATGCATACTTCTGGCTTCACTTAAAAGGAACAAAATGGGCTTCCCAGTGTCATCAAATTTGGTACCACTATGGAAGCCATCCTTGACGACGTGAAGGAAAACCCCATACAGTCATATGAAGCAGTATGTCTAGATCAGCTGGGTATGGAAATGGTGAGTGTTGAAGATTGAGTGTTGGTGAGAATGCAGCACATCTCTGTGCTAACTTGAAGGGGTTAATGTTGGAGGTGTTACTTGATCAACAACGATGATGGCTTTCCAGTTCCATTAAAAAAAAATCATCATAGTGTTGATGACTTTCTAGGTGCCAGGTATTTTTGCAAGCAAATGAAAAAACTAGTTTTCAAAACTATGGGCGGTGAAAATGGCCTCAGGGCCTTCACACTGCTGTGACTACCCCCACTCAGCCAATTTCCTTCCCACAAGGGGATTGGCCATTCCTGATATTAAATTAAGCAGATCCAGTAAAAGAATTTGAGAACTTCACCATTAGCAAAGAAGAAGAAAGAGAAATGCAATGTGTCCTTTGGGATCAGAGATTCTTGTGCCAGTCAGACCAGGGCCTATGGGAGAAACTGCCAAAACAGCTGCACCAGGGAATCAGAGACCTGACATAAGATGGAGCAGACTGTGAGACTGCTACCCAACAGGGAACAAAAATGAAGAGCCTTTTCTCAAGTTAGCTGGAGGACTGGAGGGTCGGGGGAGAAGAGGAAGAACCAGAATTTGTTTTAAATTTTACTTTATTAATTTTAATGAACATTTACAGAGATTTTGAATTTCAATTCATTCATTGTTGCACTTTTCTCCCTGCCCAGCCCCCACCCCCATCCCACCAGTTTGGTCCTCTCTTTGAAAAGTAAAAGAAAAATTCTTTCATTGGTATTCAATCCCCCTCCCCCCCCCACAACCACCCCGAGTACTCTCCACTATGCAACCTTAATTCTGGACTCTTGTGATAACCATAATTGGCAGGACTGAGAGCTTTGTAACTCTAGCCTAAAGCCACGAGACTCAAGGTTGAAGCACATTTTGGAAGCTGTCCTGACTGTATTCTGCTGCTAACCTGAATTCTACCAAATATGCAACCAACACTCATTAATAATAACTGGTGATTGGATTGCAGAAGTTAAGAACAAGAAAGAAGGATTAGTACTCAGAAAACATGGACTTGGTGACAAAAAAGAGACTGGAGATAGAATGATAGAATTTTGTACAATCAATGATTATTCATTGTAAATGCTTTTTATAAAAGACACAAAACAGTGACTATTATATGGACCTCACCTGATGGACTACACAGGAATCAGATTGATTACATCTGTGGAATCATTGGACAAACTCAGTATTAGCTGTGAATACTAGGCCATGTGCTGACTGTGGAATAGACCATCGATTGTACAAGTTCAAATTGAAGCTAAAGAAAATGAAAACAAATCTACAAGAATAAAAATATGACCTTAAGTCTGCCCCATCTGAATCTAAAAACCATCTCAAGAACAGGTTTGAGGCACTACACACTAATGAACAAAGACCAGACGAGTGGTGGGATGATAGCAGAAATAATCCATGAAGAATGCAAAAGCTCATTACAAAGACAGAGTAAGAAGAAAAGACTGCAATGTATGTCAGAAGAGACTCTGAATGTTGCACTAGAATGCCAAGAAGATAAAACAAAGGGAAGAAATCAGAAAGTTAATCAGCTGAAGAGAAGATTTCAAATGGTAGCTCAAGCAGACAAAACAAAGTATTATAGCAGAATGTGCAAAAAGCTGGAGTCAGAAAATCAAGAGGGATGAACTTGTGTGGCATTTCTTAAGCTAAAGGAAATGAAGAACAAATTCATGCCTCAAGTTTTAATATATAAGGATATAAAAGGATGCTATAAGCAGAATACTGAATAATCCAGGAAGCATCAAATGAAGATTAAAGGAATACATTGAGTCACTGTACCAAAAGAACTGGCTGACACAGAACAATTTCATGAGACAGCATATGATCAAAAAGCAATAGTAATAAAGGAGGATGTTCAAGCTGTTCTGAAGGAATTGGAGGAAAAAAATAAAGCCCCAGGAATTAATGGAATACCAATTGAAATATTTCAACAAACATGCAACCCTGCATGTGCTCACCTAGTTGTGTCAAGAAATATGTAGGGCCAACTGACTGGAAGAAACCCATATTCAAAAAAGGATGATCCAATAAAGAGTGGAAATTTTTGGACAATATCACTAATAATACAAGCAAACTAAATCTTGCTGAAGATTGTCCCAAAATGACTACAACACTACATCGACAGAGAACTACCAAAAATACAAGCTGGGTTTAGAAGAGACTGTGGCACTAGGGTTATCACTGTCAATGTGAGATGGATGGCAAAGAGCAAGAGTCTATTTGTGTTTTATTGATCACAAGTTGTGGCTAACATTGAGAAGAATAGGAATCCCAGAACACTTGATTGTGCTAATGTGAAACTTAGACTGGGAAGCTGTCATATGACCAGAACAAGGGAAGACTGAATAGTTCAAAATAAAGAAAGGGGTGTGTTATGGAAGTGTCCTTTCTCCATACTTTTTCAGTCTATATTGTGGAACAGATCATTTGGGAGATTGGACTTTATGAAGAAGAATGTGGCATCAGGATTAAAGGAAAACTCATCAATAACTTGACACAACCTTGCTTCCTCAAACTGAGGAGGACTTAAAGTGTTTACTGCAGAAGATCAAGGACTACAGTCTTCGATATGGATTGCATCTCAACATCAAAAAACCCCAAAGAATCTCTCCACTGGGCCAATTGGCAGCATCATGATTGATGAAGAAAAGATTGCGGTTGTTAATAATTTCACTTTGCTCAAATCCACAATGAATGCTCTTGACACCAGCAGTCAGGAAATCAAAAGACAAGTTACTTTAGGAAAGCCTGCTGTCAGAGAACTCTCCAGAGTGCTAAAGAGCATCCACCAGGGATTGTAAGACATTTGTCTCACTGGGAACACATCTTCAAATTTACACGTTTTGTAAGAGGCAAGAAAAGGCTAATTTTATAAAATATTTCCCAATTCAGAGGGCCAACCTGGGTTTCAAAACCAAAGCCTCAGTGTTACCTCTGCAAAGCTTTTTCCTTTGCTTTGAGTCGATCAACTTCACTTCCATAAGCCACATGAGGAGTGATGTTGAGTAAATCAGGACAAGCACTCTTGACTTTTTCAACAGTAATATATTCAACTAGATTTTGGAAATGATCACAACAGTAGTCCTGAAAAACAAAGAAGGTTCCCCGCCTCCCATTTTAGATGAAAATTATCAAAAGGAAAACAAAACAAAACTAAAAATAAAGAAAGAGAGAGAAGCCAGATTTGGTTAATCGAGTTTGGATAACAATCTAAATGTTTATAAAAAGTTTTTTATTAAAAGTTTTTTTAAAATAATAACTTTGTTGTTGTTTACCATCAAATCAGACCCATCTCATAGCTGACCCTTCAGTGGGTTTTGAAGAGTTAGTAAATTGCACAAGAGATTTCTCGTCCGTCTCTCACTGATTTGAACTGCTTATGGATTTGAACTACATGTCTTTGGGATTGTATCACAGCTTCACACCACTAGGCCACTATAACTCCACAAAGAAAAACTTTATTGAGGTATAATTTAACAATTTAAAGTGTACAATGCAATGGCTTTAATATATTTACAGGGTTGTACTGCCACCACTATGATTAATTTCTCAGAACATTTTATATACTTTAGCTATTAGGAACAGTTTTCTGACCCCAAATGAAATTATGAATAATGGTCCTTCCCTATTGCTCCCTCATTCTAATCCCTGGCAAGAGCCTCTTTCTATGAATTTGTTCATTTTGGATAATTAATATAATTCACCAACATAGGTATCTTTTTGACTGGTTTCTTTCACTTAGCACAGTGTTTTTAAGGTTTATCCATGCTGTAGCGTATTATCAGTACTTAATCTATATTTATAGCCAGATAACATTCCGATGTGTATATATATATTTTGTATATTCATTTATCAGCTGATAAACATTTGAGTTGTTCCATTTTTTTACTATTATGAACATTCATGTACTTTGGAACATGGATACATTTTAAGTTCTCTTGAGTATATATATACCTATGAGTGGAATTCTAAGATAACCCTATGTTTAATCTTTTGAAGAACTTCCAGACTATTTTTCAAAGTGACTGCACCATTTTATATTTTACTCCAGCAGTACATGAAGGTCCAGTTTTTCCACATTCACCCCAACATTTGTTACTCTCTGTCCTTTTTTTATTATTATTACAACTATCCCAGAGGGTATGAAGTGGTATTGCACGGAGATTTTAGTCTACATTTCTCTGATGGCTAACACATTGCGTATTTAAGACTAGAAAAAAAAAAGGAATAGAAATTAGAAGAAAGGTGCAGGAGAAAAATACAATATAGTGTATGTATGTGGTTGCTTAAAAATAATACTATTTCCTCAGTAAATCTGCTTCAGAACTTACTTGTTTTACTGGTTCAACATCACTATAGTCAAGATTGGAAAGGAATGTTTTTAGATCATTCCCACAATATTCACACTGAGGTGGTATATCCTCTTCTTCATCCTTCAGAGGGGGAGAAAAACAAAGAAGTACTAGCAAGTGGGCCCAGTGGCTCTGGCAGTGGTAGGAGATAGGGTCCTGCACCGGATTTGTGAATGTCTAGTGATGGGGATTACGAATTTGCCCGAAAATTCCTATCAGCTACTCAAGACTCCCAGAAATACATGGTGGGGAACTTTCAGGGGCTAAAATGTTGTACCAGAAGGTACTAGCAACCTCACTTCTCCTCACAGGTTGGTGAGGACAGGGGAGATTGTGCTAGCATTTTGACAACCATAAAAACCATCATCTGGGGTTGTTAAAATTATCACCAACATGGGGCTCAAGGGTAATTGAAGTGGTTAGTGAATCCAGGGATTCTCCACTTCAGAGTAATGCTCGATGTCTAATGTACTCTGCCTTTAGACCACTGAAACAACCCAGCTACTGAAAGTAGACTCCTTGAGAACCAAATCCATGCTGCTGAGCCAATTCTGCCATATAGACTCTCCCTCAGGTTTCTCAGGTTGTAAATATGTGTGGGAAGAGCCCATCTTTTCCCCATAGGGTGGGTGGTATTTGAACTGATGGCCTCTTGGTTGGCAGTCCCATATGTTATGCACTGCACCAGCAGGGCATTTTTGCAGTAACAAATGGTGATGAAAAACGATAGACACCTATCAGATGATAGAGCAAGAAGAGAGAGAGCCTAGAAAAATAGGTCATCTCCAATACCTATTATGCAGTAGGTTTTGTAATAAACTCATTTGCCCATGGCCTCTATGCTTAATTAAAAGGTGGTGTGAAACAAGGTGGAGCTACTTCACAGAATTATCCATGGGCTTGGGACCTGAATCTGCAGAGGGTGAGGGGCTGATCAAGGCAGCTGCTGTCCTGACCTATACAACACTGGCAGTACATGGAAAAGAGGCCCTGAAAGGACTGCAAAGAAACAGAAGGAGCCAATCCTGTTGCAGATATAAAGTTAAGTTTCTGGAAGAAAGGGCTTGTTGCATGTTCCAGCCCATTTTTAATAAAGAGATCATAACAACCTCGCTTCAAAAAACTTCCCTGGATATACGTCTTTGTGGTTTAGAAAAGGAAGGTGCTACATTGGAATACATTTTCAGCATGATGCTGTGTAAGATGAACTTACAGTTTTGGAACTTGGGCAAATAGGAACAGAAAATATTGACTGATATTACATTACAAGATCTACTAAATGTGCTGCCCTTCATTAGGGAGTCCAGGTGGTCCGGTGACAAGGAATTGCACTGCCAATCCGAAGGCAAGCAGTTTAAACCCACCAGGTGCTTTGTGGGAAAAAGATGGGCAATATCTTCCTGTGCCTATTTTAGCTCCTGAAAGCCTGCTGGAGGGCCAGCCCTGAGTCAGTTCTGTTACACGGTACAGAAGAACAGCAAACCCATGATTAGTGTTGCATAGTTCTATGTGCTGTGCAGAAGAACCACAAACGTAGCATCAGTGCAGCAGCACAGCATCTGCAGCAAGCCAAACACCTGCGATACATGGAAGATTGGTGTCTCTTTTCTTCAGTGGGTAGATCTGCATCTTCAGTGGATTCCAGAAGTCATTAAGGAGGTTCAGACCTGGTGAGCACACAGCTCTCTCCCTGCGGCCATACCAGCCAATGAAGGCTTGGACATTCTCTTCCTTCTAGTGTGTCCCTCACTGCTCTGGTGTAGTGGGATGGGATCTCAACCCAGTGGAATCACTGGTCCATTAAGCAAAGGTAATAATTTGTCACTGAACATGATGAAATAAAGCATATGTTTGCTTGAGCTTCCAGGCTTTGTGGTCACCTTCTTATATGTTACTTCAAACATGTGATCTCTTTGCTTTTTAAAATGGAATTGCGTTCTCCAAAAAGATGCACATGTCAAGAAGACAAAGATTCTTACTACTGGACTGATAGACAGGGTCATGATGGATGGAGAGAAAATGGAAATTGTCGACAGCTTCACCTTGCTTGGATCCACAATTAACACGCTTAGTACAACCAGTCAGAAACTAAGGACACAGATTGCACTGGGACTTTTTTGTTAGGGACTTTTCCAAGTTATTGAGGAGTAATGATGTCAATTTGAGGACTAAGGTGCATCTGATTCAGGCCATGGTCTTTCTAATTACTTGCTATGCATCTGAGAGCTGAATAGTGAATAAGGATGAGAGGAAAAGAATTGACATCTTAAAGTAGTGGTGTTGGAGAAGAGCACTGAACATCCCATTGAGGGCCAAGATAATAAACAGATATGTCTTGAAGATGGTTCAGCTGGAGTGTTCTTTGGCAGCAAGAATCAAGAGGCTTCTCCTCACATACTTAGGGCGTGTTTCTAGGAGGGGCTATTCTTTAGAGAAGGACACAATGTTGGGATGGGTGGAGGGTCGGTGAAGGAGAGGAAGACACTCAACTAGGTGAATTGACATGGTGACTCCTGCAAAGAGCTGTTCTGTGTTGGTAAGTGTGAGGATGGCACAGGATAGAACAGGGATCAGATCTTTTGCTCATAGAGTTGCTATGAGTTGTACTTGACAGCATCTAACAATGATAACAACCACCACCACCATACTTTTTCCATCCATTCAGTTGTAGTTGGATATTTGGGCTGTTACCATGATATTGCGATGGTGAATAATGCTGCTATGAAAACTGGTTTACAGATCTTCGTTTGTGTCTCAGTTCTAATTTCCTTGGGTTATATTCCTAGAAGTGGAATAGCTGGGTCATATGGAGTTTCTATGTTTGACGTTTTTATGAAATGCCAAATTGTCTTCCAGAGTGGTTGTACCATTTTACAAACCCATCAACAGTGTGCAAGAATACTCAACCCTCCACATCCTCGCTAACATTTATTATTTGCTGCCCTGTTAAACTTTGCCACTGCTACTGGAGTAAGATTGTATGTCATTGTGATTTTGATTTGCATCTTTCTTATTGTCAGTGATTTTGATCATTTCTTCATGCGTCTCTTGGCCATCCAGATGTCTTCCTTTGTGAAAAGTGTTTCCATGTCTTTTGCCCATTTTGTAATTGGTTTATCAGTCTTTTTCTTCTGGAGGCCTTGGAGTAAGTATTCGGTAAACTTTTGTTATGAAACTGTAGTTTGAGATGGTATTCCCACATGTTTTTTCCCCAGTTGGTAGGTTTTCTTTTCACCCTGTAGAAAAAAGTTTTTGATGAACACACAGATTTAATCTTTACAAGGTCTTATTCATTAATTTTATTATCTTTAGAGTGTGCATTTCTGGCTTTATTTGGCAATCTCTTTATACTATAGACTAGGCTTTCTAACCAGTTTGTCTCTTATGAACTATGATTTTGGGCTTTACTCCCAAGTCTCTGATCCACCTAGAGCTGATTTGTGTGTATGCTGTGAGATGTGGACCATGTTTCAGCTTTTTTCAGGTTTTGTTGTTTGTTGTTATGTGCCGTCGAGTCGTTTGCGACTCATAACGACCCTGTGCACAACAGCCCTAAACCCTGCTCTATCCTGCGCCAACTGCAATGCCTCTGACACACCCATCCCAATTACCCCAGTCACTGAATCAATCCATCTCATAGAGAGTCTTCCCCTCCTGCGCTGTCCCTCCACCCTCCCAAGCATGATGTCCCTCTCCAAGGACCCGTCCCTCCTGGCAACATGTCCAAACTATGTCAGACGAAGCCCCAGAATCCTTGACTCCAAGAAGTAGCTTGGTTTAATCCTCTCCAAGATGAATCTGTTTTCCTGGAAGTCCATGGTACATTCAGTACTCTTCTCCAGCACCACAGCTCCAAGGCATCAACTCTCCTTCTGTCTTCCCTCGTCATTGTCCAGCTCTCTGATGCATAACAAGCGATTGCAAAGACCATGGCCTGTATCAGGCGCACCGTAGTCTCCAGAGAGACACCGTTGCTCTTGAGTACTTTAGAGAGGTCCCTAACAGCAGACTTTCCCATTTGCCTGTATCATTTGTTGAAGAGGTTGTCATTTTCCCATTTGATGGGTTTTATTTCCTTGTCAAATATTAGTTGACCATAGATAGATGGGTCCATTTCTGAGTTCTCTATTTTGTTCCATTGGTCTATGTGCCTGTCATCATACCAGTACCATGCTGTTTTGGTTACTACCACTGTGTGGTAGATTTTGAGGTCAGGGAGTGCTATGTCTCCCACTTTAGTTTTGGTTTTCAAAAGTTATTTGCTTACTCATGGTCTCTTTCCTCTCCAAATGAACTTGACAATTTCCCTCTCGGAGTCCTTGGAAATTGCATCTAACTTCTCTATAAATGTTCGTTAAAATCACAATTAAAATAAAATTTTATTTAAAGAAAAAAATGCATTTGGTATCTGGATTGGGATTGTCCTGACATGTAGATTGCTTTTGGTATGATTGCCATTTTCACAATAGTGAATCTTTCTATTCATGAACAAGGAACATTTTTCAATTTATTTGGATTTTTTTATTATGTCTTACAGAAATGATCTGTACTTTTCTTTGTATAGGTCTTCTGTGTTTCTAGTTAGGTTCACTCTCAACTATCTCAATTTGTGGCTGGCTATTATAAACGGTAGAGGAATCCCACTGATTTTTTATTGATCTTGTATCCTATCACTCTACTAAATAGGTCTACTAGCTCTAACAGTTTTTTGGTTGTTGTTGTTCAGTCCTTGGGTTTTTCTGTTTACACTATCATACCATCTTGTATATAGTGACAGTTCAACTATCTCTTTGCTAATCTGGATGCTTTTTATTTCTGTCTCTTGTCGTATTGCCCTAGCAAGCACTTCCAATACAATATTGAATAGAAATGGTGGCAGTGGGTATCCTTGTCTGATTCCTGTTCACAAAGAAAATGCTTTTAGTCTTTCTCCCTTGGGAATGATATTGGCTCTTGGTTTTTAATATATACTTTTGATTATGTTGAGGAAATTCCCTTCTATTCCAATTTTGCTTTTGATTATGTTGAGGAAATTCCCTTCTATTCCAATTTTGCTAAGTGTCTTACTCAGGAAAGGGTGTTGTATTTGTCAAATGCCTTTTCTGCATCAATTGCTAGGATCATATGGTTCTTTTAATGCCATTTATTATCTTTCTAATACAAAAAGACTAAGGATTAAAATTACCTTGAATCGAAAGTCGGTAGTAGAAATCTCTGGTTTGTATGCAAGAATGGATGGTGGTCCAACTCTGGGCAGTGTCCTCAGAGAAGGTTCAAACAGTTTGAAGAAGTCATCCTTAAACTAAAAAACACAATGAAAAGCAGAAAAATTTAAAAAGAAAGAAATGATTTTTATATATGGAAATAGCATACTAATTGAAGTGATAAACATTTCTTACCTCTAGCTCATACAAAATTTTTAATTTTGACTCTTCTGGATTAATTATCCATTTTTCTGAAGATAGAAAAAAGACTTATAAGGAAAGTTTAAAAGTTTTTGTAGTATCATCCATCTTCCCTACTTTGGAGAGTCACATAGATGATTATTTGTTTAGGGGTGTGTGTTTCCATAGGGCATGGATATTGTCAAAGATGAAGTTTCTTCCCCACTGATAGTTTGCCTTTGCTAGCAAAAGGAGAGGCTCTAAACCTCTATTTACTTCTTATCTGAGAAGCTGGATGTTCAGATTCCATTATCTTCTGCAGTGGGAGGTGGGTTTCAGACACTATAAAGAGAATGAGCATTTGTTACCAACTGGACAAACGAAAAAAAGATATTTTATATAAAAGTAAATCTCAGAAAAAGAAAGACCTAAAAAAGATGTTTGCTTTATCTTTTCAATGGTTGTATTTTCTTCCAAATAGCATTTAATAAACAATAATGAACAGAAGAAATTCACCACTCTAATGTAACACATTTTAAAAATGTTCCCTTGTTCCTTTACTGTCCTAGAGTAGTACATGGATACATGTTTTACTTGATTATATTAATGATGTGTACACAGTGCACATAATTGAACAAAGTATATTATACTAACTATGTTTTCTGCATCTTTTATGTATCAATTTGTCTATGGTATTTCTGTTATTATGTACAGGACTTCTCAGATAGGAGGAGGATTCCATTGGAGACAATGGACTTCCATTCACACTTCAGAGATTCCAGAGCAGGAGAGGAGATAAGAAGAAGATCAAGAACTGTCCAGTAACTTTTTTTATTAGTCTTCATTTAATCACTCAAACACATTTTGTTTACAACATTATTTACAACTATTGTTGTTATGTGCCATTGAGTGGCTTGCAACTCAAAGCGACCCTATGTCCAAGAGCCCTAAATGCCGTTCTATCCTGTGCCAACCTCACGTCTCAAACACACTCATTCCCACCACTCCACTCACAGAATCAATCTATCTCATTGAGGGTCTTCCTTATCCTTTGCCTCCCCTCCACTCTGCCAAACATGATGTCCCTCTCCAAGAACCAGTGCCTCCTTGCAACATGCCCAAAGTATGTCAGACGAAGCTTCACAATCTTTGACTCCAAGGAGCATTCTGGCTTCACCTTCTCCAGGACAAACCTGTTTGTTCTCCTAGCAGTCCATGGCATATTCAAAACTCTTCTCTGGCACCATAGCTCAAAGGCATCAATTCTATCATCCCTATTCACTGACAAACTCTCTGATGCATAGCACATAATTGGAAGACTATAGCCGGATCAGGCACACCTTAGTCTCCAGCCTGATGTCGTTGCTCTTCAGCACTCTTGAGAGGTCCCTCACAGCTGACTTTCCCAGTGCAATTCATCTCTTGATTTCTTGGCTCCTGTTACCAAGAGTGTTGACTATGGAGCCAAGTAAACTAAAACTGTTAACTATCTCTTCACCATCCACACTGATGCTGCCAATTGGCCCAGTGGTGAGAATCTTTGTTTTCTTGATGCTGAGCTTCAATCCATATAGGAGGCTGCAGTCCTTGACCTTCTGCAGCAAGCGCTTCAGGTCCTTCTCAGTTTCAGCAAGCAGGGTTGTGTCATCTGCATAATACAGGTTGTTGATGACTCTTCCACCAATCCTGATGCCTTATATAATGTCATTATTTACAACACTGTATGGAAACTTCATTGTACCCAGCCATCCCTTTACCCTGCCCATATATTAACTAATATCTGTTCCCTACTCCTCTCCTCTAATCCCCACCAACTCTCCACAATTGTTTTTGTGTGTAAATCTTCCCATAATGTCTTTCTTCCCATTCAGTCAGCTGTGCATGTCTTGTTCCAGATTAATCACAATACACATAAAGTCTGATATTCCATTAATTTCAGATTGACCTTCCTTTTACCTGGTCCCAATACAGCTCCCACCTTTCTTAGCTCTCTCACTCTTGTGACCATCCTGGTTTTTTGTAGCAATGGTCATATAGTCTATGTATGTCTCTCTATCTCTCTATCTATCTATCCATCTAATCTATCACCTACCTACGTGCCTACGTACCTACGTACCTACCTACCTACCTACCTACCTACCTACCTTCTTGTTTACCGTAGAGTCAGAACAGACCCATAGCTGACTCTCCTGTGGGTTTACAGAACCATCCTTCTCCCACAGAGCAGCCGGTGGTCTCGAACCATGTGTTTGGGAATTGCAGCACAGCTTCTTGCTACTAGGCCGTCAGAGCCTATATACCTTATATATGTTTATCTTTTTGTGACTGAGTTATTTTATTCAGTATTATGTCTTCTAAACTCATCTATGTTATGTACTGTTTCATGAGTTCTTAATTGTTTTTCAATACCTCTTGGTATTCAATTGTGTCAACGTCCTATATAATTTCTCTAAGCATTCATTTGTTGATGGTCATTTGGGCTGCTTCTGTATCTTAGCTATTGTCAATAATGCTGTAATAAACATGGGTATGAAGACTTCTGTTTTTTAGAGTATATTCCCCATACTTGAATGGCTGGATCAAAAGGTATTTCTATTTTCAGCATTTTGAGGAAACACCAGACTATCTTTCATAGTGGTTGTAACATTTTACAGTCCTACAAGCATAATCGGAATCAGTACAGTTCCAATCTCTCTACATCTACACCAGTACTTGCTGTTTACTTTTCTGGTCAAATTTGCTACAGTTGCTGTGATGAGATGATATATCCATCTTGTTTTGATTTGCATCTCATTAATAGAGGCAATGGTGACAAAGGAGGAAGTTCAAGCTGCTCTGAAGGAATTGGCAAAAATGAAGGCCCCAGGAATTGACGGAATACTCATTGACATATTTCAACAAACAGATACTGCCCCAGATGTGCTTACCACGTTGTGCCAAGAAATCTGGAGGACAACCACATGGCCAAATGACGGTAAAAAATCCATATTTATTCCCATTTTGATTGTTGTTGTTATGTGCCGCCGAGTCGTTTCCGACTCATAGTGACCCTATGCACAACAGCCCTAAACCCTGCTCTATCCTGCGCCAACTGCACCGCCTCTGACACACCCATCCCTATTACCCCAGTCACCGAATCAATCCATCTCATAGAAGCCCCAGAATCCTT